TCAGGAAATAATACCTGTCTTTGCAACAGGAGACATATTTTGTTAAAGTCTATGTCATATTAAAAATGGTGAGGGGAAGCTGGCCCCATGGCCTGGTGGTTAAGGCAGTCAAATCCCACATGACCAACCACTCAGTTTGAGTCCTGGACCCAGAAGCTTGAGAAATATGCCAGGCGTGTGTGCATTGGTACCCAGAGTTCAAAAAGGAGGGATAAATAGAGGAGAAGGGATTGCAGTATCATCATTCTCCAAGGGCTGGTGTATTCTCCTGTTCCTCTCTCTCTATCTCTGTGTCTCTCTCTCTGGTGAGTGCATGTACCATCTAGCTCCCTCCACACACACATACACACACATACATATATTACATATATACATATATAAATGTAGGCAAATAACATGAAGTTTGAAAAAGTCTGTCTTATATTTTATGTGTGGCTCTGTGTGAATGTGTGTGCACAAATGAATTTATATCAACAGCACTGAATTGAATTCTCTTGATACTTGGAGGCCTTTGTTGTTTTCTTCCAGAGAGAGAGAGGGATTTGTGAGGAGGGATAGGGTTGACATTCCTCAGAGGTACTCTTTCTGCTGTTATGAATCATGACAGAATTTTTACCAAGATCAACAAAAGGGCTTGAGTAAACATTATAACTGGTATTTAGTCATTTCAGCTGTCATTAACTCCAGCTAGCCGTGTGTATTTTTTCAGAAATAATTTGATTATAAGCACAATGGCAAGAGGACAAGGTGATTCCTCAGTTGCAGTAGTTGGTGTGGGCTAATTGGAATCCCACCTGCCTTTGTCTGCTCTGGCTCTTGTTATTAGGGATGTTATGCTCCAAGTCAGTTAGATACCAGCAAATATTTTATAATGATGTGGGGTTTGAAACAGTTGCTCTGTCAGACTGCTGGTACTGCAGCCAGCAGGGCTGAATCACAATAATTAGCACACCTCCTTGCAAAGACCAGCATGGCGTTTTCTTTGGACTGTAGAGGGAAAGCAGAGGAGAGCAGAGGATTAAGCACCGGCCAAATTACCCCAAACTGTATCAACTCAATATACAAGTTGAACAGAATAGAGAAGCATCGTTTATTCCTGTGACTCCTCCCAAGAATTAATTCAACTGTTGTGAAGATTTTTGCCCACAAATCCTACTTCTGGAGTAGTACTCACACTAAGCCTGGTATTGGCTTGTGCCCACAGAGTTGCATATCAAGTGAAGACTGTACATGCTTTTTCTCAGAGGGGCCAGATGGCATTGCAGCAGTGTCACAACTGTTCCTACATGGGAAGGACCAGGATTTGCTCCCTGAGAATTTGCTGTACGCACAAGGCAGGGCATACATGTACCTGTGATCCATGCTGTTCGAGGTTGGAGGTAGATCATGGCATGACAACTGTGTTGGGGTACTTGTCTCTGTCTCTCATAGAAAAAAAAATATAGTTTTTGTTTCTGTTTTAGTTTTACAAAGATTTTTAAGATATCTGTGTGGTGATTTAGAATACATCAGTGCAATATCAGTGCCTTATTACCTAGATCTTAAGTCAAATATGAGCAGTCCAAATTTGTAATCTTAGTTTTTTTTTTTAATTTTTAAGTTTAATGTTGTTTTAAACCATAAGACTTTTGGACTTTCAAATTTATGGCAAATTATCTTTTCAATGATGTAGTGTTTTTTTTTAATATTATGGAAATTGGGAAGTAATAATTATCAACATTTTTGGAAATAAGGAATAGTTTGAATAAGTAAAAATGTTCTAAAATGTCTTTTATAGTTCATAAAAAAGTTCTTGAAGCAAGATCCAATTACATGTATACTATCTGGTTTCACATATTACATTTAATATCTGATCTCTTTAGTATCATTTATGTTTAAAAAATCCTTATCCCCTTGTTTATGTTTTTAAACCATGTAGTAGGAGTGGGTTTTACATTTTAAAGGTATTTATACGTGACCTCCCTCTGCACAAAAACAAAAAAAGAATGAAAAAGAGCAATATACAAGAGATTGTATGTGAACCAAAAAGTCTAAAATAGTTATAATCCCTTTGGATTAAAAAAAATAACTTTGCCAATCCCTGTTCATAATACTAAATTCATGTAAAACACTTTGACAGAATTAGCTTATCAGTTTAATGAGCACTGCATATTACATTATCCCAGGAAGTAAAGTTGTCCCACTACAAAATATGCTCTTTCTGAGAATTTGATTAAGACTATAACAGCTAGTCTACTGCATTCTAATGTTATGTTTCCCTTTGCATTTAGCAAATTATTCATGGGATAATAAGCATCTTGGAGATATTTTCTATACGTACATGTATTCACATTGCATCTTTTAAGCACTGTACTCTTGGTTTATATTAAGATTTTCCAAGAAAGATACCAATCTTTTACATGCAAGTTGGTTGTTATATATCTCTTTTTCACAATCTGAAAACAGGGATATCAATACATTTCTAAGAATTCACAAATTTCACTGCTGTATGGATAGACTATAAACTATAAAGTGCATTTATACTTTGTATTTATAGAAAAATTAGCTTTTTAAATTATTCTTTGTATGAAGAAACTGCTTTGCAGATGCTATTTTTGGCATCTGAAGTCAATGCCCCACATTCACAATTTAAGATGTGCAATTCATTTTATGGATTTGCTTTTGTAAAAACAAAGTTGGGTGAAACAGCAGTTAGCGTAATAGCTATGTCGCTGGACTCCCATGTAGTCGACCGCGGTTCACGTCCCGGACCTGGTGGCTTAAAACCCACGCCAGGCGCGTGTGCGTGCGTGCCCAAGATCCCGAGAGGAGAATGGAAGAAAAGGGATTGAGGCGTGGCCATCCCCTCTGGGGGGTGATTTCTCGCTTTCTGTCTCTCTGTCTCTCTCTGCCTGTCTGGTGAGCGCACACGCCATATAGTGAAAAACCTCTCAAAAAAATAAAGTTGGTTCTGCATATTTCTACACTAGTTAAAAATGACAATAAGCTGAAGCTTGGTTGGAGAAATAAAATATTATTAAAAGTGAAGAAAAGAAGTGATTTTATTTTTTTTTTACATTACATGTTTTTAAATCTTGAGGAGACCCAAAAATTCATATATTCTCTTTGGGACCTGGCATTTTGTTTTTGCCATCTGAGTTAGAATTTTGCTACTATCAAGTGGTTACAAATTTTAGTAACAACAAAATTATATACAAAAGTCCAGTTAGATTTCAGATAGGAAAGTATCTGAAAACTTATTTTCAGAATAAATGTATATGAAAAACAATTTTTATTGTTAAATTATAAATCTGATTTTTAGATTTTGTCAAATGAGAAACGGTTGATATTTTCAGATGCTTAATGTAAGGTTTATCTTATCCGTAACCAAAATGCAATAGAGATTCAATATACATTCCCTCATTTCTGTATTACTAATCTCTCTCTTTACTGGACTATTCCATCAATATTCCGGCAAGTTCTTATATGTGGTATCTTAAGAGGCTCCTGCCTTTAGCCAGCAGATGGCATAATGGTTTCATCACTGAACTCCTGCATGGATGACCACAGTTTGAGTCCCCCACCCAGTGACTTGAAACTCACACTGGGTGCATGTGCGTGTTTGCCCAAGAGTCTGTGAGGATAATGGAGGGGAAGGGATTGCGGTGTGGCCATCCTCTCTGGGGTTTGATTTCTCGCTTTCTCTCTCACTGTCTCTGTCTCTTTCTTCCTTCCCTGTACATGACCTCCCCCACTTCCCCCAGTGCACATGCTCTAAGACAAAAAGCTCTTTAAAACAATTTCAAAATTTTTCAAATGTGTCTTATGTGTTATCTGTAACTACTTACTTATATCTAGTTCATTCTTCAGCCACTCCAATATGGTTTTCAATGTTATTATTCCAGTGTGTCTATTGTCAAATGCAAGAGACACTTCCGGGAATAAAACATAAATCCACTAAAGTGAGGAATCCTTCTATTTCTACAAGATCTCCTGATGCTTGCCTGAGCTGTGGGGAGAGTGTTTATGATTCTACTTTACAGAGGACATGGAGGAACAGCTATTCATGACTTGGGGCTTAATCTAGGTCTATTAGTTTCAACTCTCATGTTGCACACACCATATGACCCGCTAGAACTCTCAAACCCAAACTCATCGACTTCAAAGCTCTCAACTTTGGCTATAAGCAACTTAGCATATGCTCTTTGTTCACTTCTCTGACTTTGAGGTCTCTATTTGTTTATGTAACCTGAAAATGTCCTAGAATTCTTTCATTCTTCTATAAAATACACACACACACACACACACACACACACACACACTGAATTGTCACCAACTGTCTTTTACTATGCTATAATGCTCTATAACTTACCTTACTTATTTACTTGTACCTTCTATCTGTTACCTATCTCCCTCCTCTTTCTAGTTTCTGGCATTCAACATTACACTCTCTAGTCATACTCATTTGAATCTTTTAGCTTCTGCTAATCAGTAAGGACATATGGGGGCCAGCAGATGATGTCATCATCACTGGACTCCCACATAGTGGAATGCAGTTTGAGTCTTGGACTCAGCAGCTTAAAACTCACACTGGGCACATGTATGTGCATGCCCAAAAATTCTGAGAGGAGAATGGAGAAGGGATTGTGGTGTGGCCAGCTCTGGGGCATGATTTCTCACTTTCTGTCTCTTTGTCTGTCTCTGTCTCTGGTGAGCACATGCACCCCACAGCAAAAATCTCTCATTAAAAAAAAAAAAAAGAAAAGAAAAAGAAAGAGAGTAAACAACCAATCAGTGAGAACATATAATATCAGTCTTTTTGTGGCTGACTTATTTCACTTAGCATGACTTCTTCCAGATTCATCTATCCTACTACAAACTATAGGAATTTTTATTCTTTCTTATGGTTCAAATAGTGTTCCATTATGTTTATATACTACCTTTTCTTTATCCATTTATCAATTCTTGGACACTAAGGTTGATTCCATATCTTAGCTGTTGTGAATAGTGCTACAAAATATGTGCTCGCTTCGGCAGCACATATACTAAAATTGGAACGATACAGAGAAGATTAGCATGGCCGGCATGCTGACATGTGGGTGCCAACCGAATAAAAGCAATTCATTGTGTTCCTTCCTTTTTTTTTTTTAAATTTGTATAAAACCACCTTTTGAAGCAGCAACTATCAAATTTGAAAAGCAATTGATATTTCCATTCATCTTTTTTTCTGGGGAAAACCTTAGTTCTAAGGATTTAACAACCTGTAAGTAAAGTTTAACATAACAGTATTCCATAAGCAGCCTTTTTATTGTCAGATCATTGCCTGATTTTAATATAATAAAAGAAAGTGTGCGTTACTATTTAAAAAAAATAGTGCTACAAAATATGGGAGTACAAGTATCTCTTCAATATACAGATATCTTTTCAGTTGGGTAGATACCCAGGAATGGGATTACTAAATCATAAGGTAGTTCTATTTTTAGCTTTCTGAAGAACCTCCGTATTGTTTTATAAAATGGTTGGACTAGTTTACATTTTCACCAACAGTGCATTAGAGTTCCCCTTCCTTCACAACATTACCAACACTTGTTATTCTTTTTTGTTTGTTGGTTTGTTTTTCATATTAGCCATACTAACTGGGATGAAATGACACCTCACTGTGGTTTTGATTAGCATTTCCCTGAAGATTAATGATGTTGAACATTTTTTATGTACTTTCTGGTCATTTGTATATCTTCTTTTCAAACTGTTCAGATAGAGATTGTCCATTTTTTAATTGGATTTTTTTTCTAGTGAGCTTTTGAGTTCCTTATATAATCTGATTATTATTAATAATACCCTGTCAGATATATAACTCTCAAATATTTTCTCCTATAATGTACGTTGTCTCTTGACTATAATGATTGTTTGTTGTGCTGTTCAGAAGCTTTTTAGTTTGATATAATCCAATTTACTTATTTTTTTTGGTGCTGTCGCCTGTGCTTTTGAGGTGTTATTTAGAAGTCTTTGCTTAAACCAATGTTCTGAATTGTTTTCCTTGTTTTCTTCTAGTAATCTCATTTAGTCTTCCATTATGAATTAATATTTCTGTAGATGTTGAAAGATGAGGGGTTTAGTTTCAATCTGCATACGAAGATCTGATATTTGAGTCACCATTTATTAAGTATTCTCCACTGAATGTCCCTGGGAGCCCAATTTATTTTAATACTTCTGTACTCCTTGTTCATTTGAGTCATATAACATGAGCCAAGTCTTTGAAATACTCAAGTGTTTTTTTTTTTTTCCCACCTTGATCATGGCTGCTCTTGTGAATATCACCCAGTGCTTTTCTATCAGCTGAAATTTCAATTTAAATTTGATCTGTTCATATCTTTTTCTGAACTTTTCCAAAGTAGCTGCACAAAGACCTTTCATTTGCATCACTGTGCTTACTTCTTTTATTGCAATCATTAAATTGTAATCTGTAATCATCTTTAAATATTTTAGGTACACTTACTATACACAAAATGAAGACTGGACTTTTGCCTGTCATAGCCCTTACCTGGTCCATCATTTGAAAGGTAGCAAATACTTGTTAAGTGAATCAAGAAATAAACATGTTTTTATATTTAAGGGTAATTATTTAACAATATAATAGACAAATAGTTACCATTGTATTTATTTGCTTATCACTATTTTTAAAAAAATTATGCAGGCATTGATTTTATGTTGAAATGTTGGGTTTAGTGTCCAATGTTTTTACTTTAGTAATTTATAGTCAATTTTATGTAACATTCATTTTGGTTGTGGATCTAAACCTTAAAATAGTGCTCTGTAATATTAATATTAACTTTATAAAATAATTTAAAAAACTGATCAATTAAAAAATTCAAACAAAAATAAAACCAAAAAGACATAGCATTTTAATTTCCTATCCTCAGATATCCTTCTGTATTTTTTTTTTTTTTTTTGGAGAAGATTTCGCTATAGGGCGCGTGCACTCGCCAGACAGACAGAGACATAGAGACAGAAAGTGAGAAATCACCCCCCAGCAGGGAGGTCACGCCGCAATTCCTTCTCCTCCATTCTCCTCTCGGGATCTTGGGCATGCAAGCACACGCGCCTGATGTGTTTTAAGCCACCGGGTCCGGGACGCGAACCGTGGTTGACTACGTGGGAGTCCAGCGACATAGCCATTACGCTAACTGCTGGTTCCCTATCCTTCTGTATTTTAATCCAGTAGGAAATGTGTTAGTCTGACAATTTTTTATTCTTAACATATTTTAATCCCTCTGACACTTTTCCTTTGCCATTTTATCCCTACTTAACTAACCTTGATTTTTCCTTATCCAAAAGTGGAAGTTATTTTTTTCTTAAATTCATGCTATATATTTTTTTAATAATATTTTTGAGATTTATTTTTTTATTAAAAATAGAACTCTTTTTTTATCCAAAATCTTATTACAAAAATGCATCTAGATGAGATCATGCAGGAAATAGTGATCAGAAAGTTGGAAATAAAAGTATGAGCAAATTTAGAAGGGAATATAAAAAAAAAGTTCAAAACTATGCAATATTCTTTCTTTATGTGTGGGACATATATTTCAAGAATCTCAGTAAATACCTAAAAGAATGGATAGTACTTAACCCAGTAATATTATGTTTTTCCTGTACATACATATCTAAGGTAAAGTTTAATATATAAATTAGACATAGTAAGAGATTAACAACAGTTACATATATTGAAATCAACCAATTATAACAATATAGTACAATAAAATTTAGGCAAATGTGGCCTCTCATATTTCTCTCTATCTCAAACTATTTTATTGTATTGTACTCACCTATTTTGGGGCATGGTTGACTATAAGTAATTTAAACTACAGAAAGAAAATCCACAGGTGTGG